AATCTAAAATGTTTGAATAAAAAAATACATTATAATTTTTCAAATAGAAAAATGGTTTAATAAAATAGTTAAATCAAACCGAAAGGATCTAAAATAATTTAATTAATTTAATGATGAGCATATAAAAAATAATTAAATATCAAATTAGAATTAAGATTTCAATCTAAGAATGTTGTAAGATTAGTGATTGCAAATAAATTTATTTTCAATTGCAATCATATTAATATTTATTTCTCAATAAGGAAAATGGGATAAACCTGTACTATGAATACTTGTTGTTCAAAAGTAGAAGTTTAAAATTTTAAAAATTCTGGAAGATCTCTAGAAATATAAATAAAAAAGTCAAAACATTCTCAACAAATAAATAATGAGTAGGAAAAAGTGGAAGATAAAACATAAAAAAAGAAAAGTGATACAGTTTCTGAATTATTGGCATCATCACAACATAGTAAGATGTCTATAAAGTAAATTGAAAAGAATCTTCCTTTAGAAATTAATGATGGAAATTAGAATCCTTTGATAGAGAAGAGTATAAGAGTTAATGATAGAATGAAACTTCCAGTAAAATGATAAATAATCAAGATAATATTGTTACAAAATGGTGCATAATATGAAGGTGAATGGTTTTAAGGTAAGAGAGATGGATATGGTAAATAAACATGGCCAGATGGTTCAATTTACGAAGGTGAATGGAAAGAAGATAAATCTAGTGGGAAAGTAAATTGATTAAGAATTTAATAGGGAAAATTAATTCATGCTGATGGTGATGTATATGATGGAGATTGGATAGATGATGCAGCAAATGGTTTAGGGACATATATACATTTAAATGGAGCTAAATATTAAGGAGAGGTATAGGTTATTAATTTATAGTAAGTGGTTAAATGATAATTAACATGGAAGAGGAATAGAAGTATGGCCAGATGGAACAAGATATGAAGGAGATTATTAATTAGGTAAAAAACATGGATAAGGGAGATTGAATTTTGCAGATGGTTCTTGTTATTAAGGTAATTATTTATATTATTTACATTTTAGGTGAATTTTTTGATAATGAAATTTAAGGATTTGGAAATTATTAATGGCCAGATGGAAGAGTGTATGCAGGAGAATGGATGAAGAATAAAATGCATGGTAAAGGAGAAATTAAATGGTCAGATGGAAGATTATATAAAGGAGTAATTAAGTTTTAATAAACAAGGAATACGAAAATGATAAGAAACATGGTAAAGGAATATTTATTTGGGAAGATGGAAGAAAATATATAGGAATCCGGAAGACAGGTAGATAACATGGAGTTGGAATTTATTATTCTAATGATAATATTATGAGAATTGGAGTATGGGTTGAAGGAAAAAGAGTTAAATGGTATGAGAAGGAAGAAATTAATGAATTAGAAAGAAAAGGTATAATAGATGAACTTAAAAATTAATGATTATATTATTTCTATTA